GAATGGCAGGGGAAGCAAACAATACCTGCTCCCCAGAAAAATCCATAATTCTAGGTGGGTTACTTAGAAGGTAGTACTGAATCACTTTTTAAATAAATATTTTCAGGAACTAGAATGAAAAACCCTCTTTAAAACTGTAGCTACAATTTTTAATCGTGATTTGTGTCTTCTGGATGTTCACTAGATTGACATCTACTCTGAAGCAGGAGTGCCCAAGAACAGATGAAGGCATAACAGTTCTATGCAAAAACTGCATCTGGAATTAAGCACAGACCACATTCTCCACCCTGCTACACTCCTCAACAACTGACATCCTTCCTTCAACAGTTAGACGTGGATTTTGTCCTGTTGCAAAGGTACCCCTGAATTGCCTTCTCAAACACATGCAGTGCTGTTATGGCCAGCCAAAGCAACACAGGACCTCGCATGACCAAGAACAGGCATGACTTAGTTCACCACTAGCCTGTTGCGAGGTCAGTGCCCACACCCCGATGGAAAAACTGCTGTGTATTCCTGGTGGCCTTGCAGACCTTCAATGGCCTGTGGACTACTGACTAGGAATCAAATGCATAAAAGTATTTAGAAAGAAACAGGTAAGAACAAACTTGAGCTGGATACTTGCAATCTCAGTTATTCCTTACCGCAAGCAATGTAAAAACAGTATTGTTGACTGCCACCTTACAGAAAGGAGTTCTTAAAAGGTGTCTGGAGACAACATGTTGTGCAAATTAGAGCTTCAAAGGAGATAAACTTCTCTGGTACCTCTTGTCCTTTCAACACAGCTAGAATTGTCTCTAACAAAGAAGGAAGATTTCTCCTTTCTAGTGGACTTCAGAGTCAGTGAGAAGAGATGTTTAGCATGCTCTGCTCCTTTAATTGAGGTCTAGGTTACTCACTCTGCCTGCAAGTACAAAAGAGGTGGTTGCACACAAATGCCATAGGCCACCTTTGGTCCTATATCCTGTCACTGATGAAAAGATTTTAAGAATGAAAACAAGAGTCGACATTCTTTTCTTCAACAAGTAACAGAAGTTTGCAGGAGGAAAAGATGGATTCTTCCCAGTTTTATAAACAAAATGAAAGGAATTCCCTCTCATCCCACACTCCTTTTCCCATCTCCTAAACAATCACATTACAGGTCTTCAGTTTCTCAAATTGGGACAGAAATCAGGAGTTCTTTCTACACTCCTACATTTCTTGAGAAACAACTCTTAGACACTTCCCATACTTGCAGGGTCAGAGAACAAAGCTTTGTTAACCAGAGGATGAAACATGAAGCCAGCTTACAATGTAACATCTGAATTCCTGAAACATGAGGAAACCCACTTCTCTATTTCAAGATGTCATTTACTTGTCCAGGATGAGTCTTTTGGGTTTAGCCTGAATCCTCAGGCTACAATTTCCACAAACAGAAACAGATTTCCTGGGGTAGCTAAGGCCATCTCCTACCCTTCTGCACCATTGAAAACTTAACACCCCAACATCCCATGACACTTCATCTTCAGTTCTGTCATCCTGCTCCTGGAAGACAGCACAGTGAAGGCATCACAGGAGACAACTTGAATTTCTCCTCATTTTAACACTACAGTGACAAAAAAAATCTGTCAGCTCATTCCTCAAAGGCCTCTGCAGCACACAGATCTCAAACAGTATTTTTACAGCATTGTTGTCCTCCTCAGTAAATATAAAGTCACCCCACTGCCTTCAAGTTAAGCCTGCAGACTTACTCAGACAAGGGCATAAATACTTATTTTTCTGTTACTATAATCATAGTCATTCATCATCTCTGGATTTAATCTTCCTCAAAGATTACTGGATCGAAGCATGAGACACAGAAATGAAAGAGGAAGAGACCAGGACACACAGAAGTAGATCAAACATTCCTTCCCTGTCTCAACTCAGCACTAGAGTTGTCACATACAGTTCTGACTGCTAACACATTTGGTTGATTTAGAGCAGGTTTTTTCCTATTGAAATAGCCAAATACAGAGATATACAAACTGAACATAAGACTTCGGAGGGACACTTAAAACTACAGTTCCTACAGTTTAGCTAGAAACTTCTGAGCTAGCTTTAAACCAGCTAGCCCTTGTACAGCTGCAGTAGCATGGACCTTCGGTCAGCCTTGTCACCAGAAGCATGGCCATGCAGTATCACATTGTGTTTTTACCCTGGAAAATGGTCAAGTCCAAAGATGTGAATCTGAGCGTCCTAGCATAAGGCTTCACAATAACAATTCAGGTACCAACTTCTACCCGCTGCCATCATCTGCTGCTCACATTCTTTATTGGGTCTGGCTCTTGTGAAGTAAAAACAAAAAAATGTTTGTAACAAGAGCAAGATGAAGATTCACCATATGTAAATAAAGGAAGAGAAATACTTGAGAATGCCTGGTGATCCAAAGAAAAGGATAACAGAAAATAATAAAAAAGCAAATATAATAGTTACTAAATTCAAATAGCTAGGAATAATTTTCAAATCATATTCTTGTAAGGAAAATAATTCTTTACTACTATCACATCTTCACATAAAACATGCTAGGGAAGTGCAAAATATGATTTCAGCAGCATCATCAAAGCATGCAGCATACTGAGGAGCACCAGCATGATAAAAAGGCCCACGATCCATCTACAACTGCAAATTTTCCCTTACACATGGGAAGCCCACAACTCTATGCACACATGCTGCAGTTTGTTTTGAACAGAATGGCATGGGCACAATCTGAATTTCTAAGAAAGATATTGAGTTACACTAATGATCTGTCTAAACCTGGAAGCTGTCTCCAGTGGATGCCACCAATGGGATAAAGAGCATACAGTCATGAATCGCTAAAATATTGCTTCACCTTTCATCACTTCATGACTGTATTTAGTATTATGCCAAAAGATTTTTTCTTTCGTGTTTTTCCCCAACCTTTTAAATCCATATAATCTTTCAGCATTCACAAATCCTGCTGCAAGGAGTTCCTCAGCCTTCTCACGTAGTACAGACTCCTCCACTGTCACCCACTGTGTATATTTGATGTACCCAGTTCCTGTACTAGAAGAGACAGTGAACAGCAACTCTCTACTTTCTTTATGCCACCCATAAGCCTTGGACAAACCCTTGGTCATCGGTTTTCCATGCTGAAGACTCATGTTCTGAATATTTTACCCTTATCTTTAAATACTTTGCTCCCCGGGCTTTTGGGACAGTATTTTTTTTCCACAACAAAGAACAAATCAGTTTTCTCAAACAGTCAGTGTAAGTGCCAAACCCTGAACTCCATGGCAAATGTGTGCAACCCTTTTTCTGCACAGTGAAAGTGAACAGCTTGTCTTCTAAAGGAGCTGTTCAAAGTTACCCTGGTTGACTGAGAACTGATAATATACAGGCAACACACGTGAGACTTTTTCCATGTCTGAGTTTATTCTTGGCTAGCCACCCAGTTTAGCTTTACATTAGAACCTGGGCTTTAAGGCTTGCATTATGTATGAGAATCCAGATAAGCTTACAGCATTAATTGTTCCACACAAAAGAAAACCTGCCATTAGCAATTCAATGTATCATTTACATCATAATAATAATTACAATTCCCGTTCTTCCAATAAATTTGGGCATAACTTCATCACTTTGCCATTTTGACTCCTCATTCTTAAGTTACAGCTTCACAGGTATGCTCCTATTAACTGCAACAGTTATGAAAATGAGCTTTATCACATGAACTTTTGACTGGGATCCATTACAGTGTCATTCTGCCTCCCCCACTGCATCTAGAATATCATGGTTTCAAAGTTCAGGGTGCTTTGCAAAAGCAATTTATCCGCTGCAGGCATGCCTGGGGTACTAGCTTCTCACTTCACTACATGAGACATCTTCCAGATCTGTTAGTCTGAGAGGGTTTACAGAAATTAACACACAGAAGAGGGGTTTTTGGTGTTGTCAGCAACAAACACATTCACATACACATCAGTACTAAGGTGTTGAGCAAGGAGAGTTGATTATGGCACTACTTTAATGAGCCTGTAAGATCATGCTTTTGTGCCAAGTAACACACAGAGCTACTGTAAACAGTTTGAAATTTAAGTATTAAAGAGGATATAAGAGTGGACAAGGGACACACGGGGTGAACACTGGTGAAGGTCAATAAAATGAGCAGAAACAGAAGTCACAGCTTCCTATTTTAGCAGTCTCAAGTAGCATTTAAAGGCCCATCTTGCACAAATGCCCAGGGGAATGAGACATCTACGAAGGACAGGAGAAGCCCTTCCTATTATTAGGCTCATGAGAAAGAGAATGGAAGAGAGGGCCTCTGACTTGGTAAGGAACAAGTCCTGGGAATCTGACTTACTGGAGCCATGGTGACAAGGAGGTAATATTCAGCAGCAGGAAATGATTAAGGGGAAGATCAAGGTAACCATCATATCCGGTAAGCTCAATGGTATTAGAAGTGACAGGCACACCAGAGAGCAGATAGACAGGTAGAGCCTATGAAATGATAGGAACAGTGGTCAGAAAGAGCCATAACAAAAGGGTAAGTTAGGAAGACAAGCTAAAAAAGGAAAAAATAAGGCAATGCCATGAAGAGGTGATTTCCAGGAACTGCCACCATGTCACAAATACTTGGGCTTTTTTCTGGGGGAGAGGAAGGGCTAGCCAAGGTACAAAGTGCAGAGATGCAGCCCTGTCAGTACAGTTAGAGTTAGACAGCTAGCCTGTCCGCTCCATTGCTGCAATGCTCCACTACGTTCAGCCTGAAGTCATGGCCACCACACAGAGCACAGAGTGCTTACCCAGCAGCCTCATCAGGGCTGCACTCCCATACTAAAAGGCAAGGACAGTCACTAACAAAGCCCTCAGCTGAGCAATGTCTCAATACGCTGTCACAGCCTACAGAATCAATTTGTTTATTGTGAGAGAATGCAAGACAAAGATCTCAAAAGCACCCCTGTCCCAGAGCTCCACCAAAACAAGCTAACCCAGTATATTCAGTTTTACAAAATAAATGTGTTCATCTTCAGTTAAGCCGCTTTCCCAATGATCAGCACACTCATAAAAAACACCATGATAAAGAAAATCCACATGAAAAACCTGTCCATCACTTTTGCGACTTTTTTCCACTCAATTCCTTTGGCCCGGTTTGCTTTATGGTCTCGAACACAATTAGCAATATACTCGATATTTTTAATCAGCATTTTGTAACAGGAACAGCAATTAACAGTCTCCCTAACATTTTCACCATGAACCCCATAGCTTTTATGCAAATTTCCATTGAGCTTCTCCTTGAGATCACAGTCATCATTCCTATTATTGGAAAGGTGACTCCTTACTTCTTTGTGCCTCCTCTCACACCCATCATCCCCCTCTAACTTATGTTCTTCTTTCTTCTCTCTTTTTGGACTCGTGCAATTTTCACCCACATCATAAACAAAAAAGATTTTTGACATGTAGTCCAAAATAACCACCCTAGCCCATTGTGGAACAGGCTTTGCTTCTGAGCCACAGTGATGGAGATTCATTATAATGATCGTCAACGCAGTGGAAGCTGTGATCATGGTCATAGTTGCTATGTAATACTTTCCTGGAACATGAAATAAAATCATATTAAAGATGCTCCCCTAATAAAAAAATTCAATGCAGAAATAACAACGTGACAACATAGTGCTAAAAAAATGCAAGTGAAAACAATTTTTAATCACCCTTGTTCTCTGTACTTAGATCACACTTAATTTGCTATTTAAAAAAATAATATTAAAGCAATTAAAGAAAAGCCTCATACTCATTACTGGCATACCTTCATCAGATGAGTAAGTGACTACCGTATTAGCACGGTAAATATTTGCGAGCCAAAACCTCTGATTTCTCGAAATACACCCATTCAGAAGGCAGCTTAAAAATGTTTATCAGGGGCCTTGTTCTTTTCCTAGTGTCTGCAAAATCCCAATGTTGACGGCTTCACGTGGCGCATCAGAAATCCCACTTCCTGATGTATTAACAAAAGTGATGATAACGCTTTGTTGGAGCTATTGACGCACCCCACAGCAGCAGATGGATGCTTTCGCATTCACACAGGCCAGCGAATACGCAGACCTCGCTGGTATCCACAACTAGCGTACTGACAGCTAAGAGGCCAGGCACAGAGCCGAAGGGTGGCTCCGCTGCCTGTTGAGATTTGCTGTCTGGGTTTTCTTCAGCCTGTACAGATTTTAGCGTGGCTAGTCCAAACAAGGACAAAGCTCATTCTGGCCAGGAACAGGTAACAAATACAGCGAATACGAGCTGTGCCCCTCAGCCACCGCTTTTCACAACTGAAGTACAGATCCGACCAGCGAACCTACTGTGGCTTGTGCCGATGCCAAGAGGCAGCTCCCAGCCCTGCTCCGCTGCTGCGCAGCCTCTGCAGGAAAAGCAAGGGCTGGCGGCATCGATGACACAGGGTGCGCCACAGACAAGCGTGACGTGATCCCAGTTTTCAACGGGCTTGGAAAGGATGGTGAGGGAGAGCGAGGGAACAGAGAAAGCAGACTGAAGCTAGGTCTTGGCTCCTTAATTTAGACAGCATGATGGGAGGGCAGGGAAGGTTCTCCAGTACAGCAAGCCCATGCTCTAGGCAGGAATAGTTGCTGCTGGTGTGGGAAACACATTCAACAGTCTTCTTCATTGACCGGTGTTTTGTCTCACTTAAGCCATGCAGTTTTTTATATACACAGTAATAACGAGAATAAAAATAACGAGATCTGAATTATCTTAACGAAGCTGGAAGCCAGCGTGGAGGCAACTGCGTTCCTAATCCTCCAGCAATCCCACCAGGACAGCCGGGCAGGCTCATGCCTAGGGGCCAGATCAGCCAGGGGCAGGAGGGTCTTGGCAGAGGGGACAGTGCTGAACACCTCCCTTTTGCTACAGATCAGCTCTTCTGCACTCTCAGATGTAAATTAAAATTCAATGTCATGGATTGCCAGGCATTACAATTTAATGTAACAATTGTCAGATATTAAGTTAACCCTGAGTGTCCCAGCCAGACCATCCAACCACCTGGATCTGACAGAAACATATCCTGAAACAGCCTGACCTTGTGCTTACAGCTCTTGCTTACACTTCACACACTGGTTCTAAAATTGTTTTCCATTACTAGCTTTATTAAAAGATGTGAGAAAAAAATTCTAAATGTCTAACTATATTTAATAAATACAAAATAGATAGTTAATATATAATTTAAAATAAACACAAAATAACCTTAAAGAGCGGCAGCATACCTGTAGAAATTCCATGCGCATTTTAAGTATTTCACTATGTTTTAAAAATGTAGCACCTTTATTTTCCCAGAAGCCACAAATTACATATGGTTTCCGTGATATACAGCCCTGCTATTAATAAGCCATGTTTAAAGACTAAGCGTGTAAAGCTCACCTATCAAAGGTACATTTTCAGAGGGAGGCATGATCTCTGCAACCATCAGCTGGAACACAGTCAGAGCAAGAAGAACCGTAACGCCCAGAGACACCTTTTCCCCGGAGTCTGCAGGGAGATAGAATCCCAGTGGGGCCAGGAAAGAGATCAAAATACAAGGAAGCAACAGATTAAATATGTAGAAAGAAGATTTCCTTTTCAAAATCAGTGTGAAGGTCACATCGGGATAAGGTTCAGAGCAGCAGCCATAAGTGATGACGTTCTTAACTGCTGGCATACCATGAATCTCCCATTCCACATCTTCTACGAAATCAGAGAGGTCACCACTATCAAGAGAATTGATGATGTCTACCTGATTACCATTATAGGTCCAGGATCCAAATGTAAGGTTGCACTGCTGGCTGTCAAAAGGAAAATAAGATACATCCACTACACATGAGCTCTTTGTGATAGCAGGTGCATCCCAAGTGATTTTTCCATCATATCTCAACACAACATTAGTATTCACTGGTTCTGAAAAGTCATCATCCGCCCTAAAAGACAGAAAAGTGACAGTCAGGATTGACAGGCAACAACCTAGAGTGTGGGCCAGGGAAGAGGGGGCAAGGAGGAAAACCCTCTCTTCACACCATTAAAAGCATGTCTCTGAAATCACATCTATATTTATACTGAATTTTAGTAGGAACTTACTATTAACTATTATTTACAGGTACCAGTGCCCATTAATGCCAAACATCAGTGCTGCTAAATTACGTTGTATTTATTGTCCATAGCTTCTTCAAACTTGACCGCAAACAGGATACAGTAAGATAAGAATCCATTCAAAGATGAAAATAATCTGCTGGTCACTACTGGCCTGGGAGAGCAGACAAGTGCAGCCTTTGTGTACCACCTTCTTGTGGACAATCTTCCAGAGCTATTCAGCAGCTGCAGTGCAGAAAGCACTTCAGACTGCCAGGTTATTCAATTCCCAGTGCAGAGAAATTCAGAATAGCTTTGCTGTGTAGCGTAATCAATTGCCAAATCCTGTCTATGGCTTTATTGCAAAATATTTAGATGATCAACAACTCATGTTAAGACAACAAACAATACCCCTTGCTAAGGTAAGGTAAAGTGATGAAAGTTCAGACTCCATGGGTCCATTCCTCCTTCAACCCCCTCCCTTCCTCAGACAAATATTCAAGCTGATTTTCTCCAGCCACACTCACTTGTTATATAGGACAATATCTGGTCTCCAAACCAAATTGCTTGGAATCCTGATAGAATCCAACCCATCATATTTATCTTTGTCCCATTTGAGGTATGCATCATACCAGCTTTGTCGAATCCATAAGTAAGCTGACAAAATCTGGTTCCTTTCATCCTGCATAAAAATGTAGAAATATGTCTAGCTGCAGGTGACAAAATCACATCTTAGATGCAGACAGCATTTGTTGTACAGCTTTAAAGTACTGCCCAAAACAGGCCAGAATGCTGACAGGCCACAAGAGCACTTCTCAGACAGGTACATATGCCCATACACTGAACAGGGAGCTTATTTATTTGGACTTTGTCTTTTCCAAACCTTCTTCCCCTTGCACCCTCCCTAGCTTTAATCATAGCTGTCTAAGGCTCCCAGTATCTTAAGGATTTCCTTTTGCAAGCTTCAGAATACCAAACAGCTAACAGATTCAGTCTAACAAATTCTCTGAAAGCTTGGTGAGGCCTTGAAGTTGTAATTCAGAAGCCACAAAAGTGATTTTCCATTGTCCTTCCGGACACATTTTCTTTTGCCTTAAAAGTAGATCTGGTTGAACCAAATTTATAAAAAAGTTACTGAAGGCTAAAATAGGGAGTCTATGTAGAAATTAACTGCATCTTAGAAAAAGTATTTGCTCTTTCTATTTAAAATTCAGCAAAAGTTGCCTGGAGGGTGCGATACTAACACCTAACTACAAAAGAAGTCTTAACAATTCAGCAGCTGCAAGTTTGCAGACTTATAATGGAAGTCTTCATGTTGCAGTCAGATTAGAATTTACGAAGAACTGGAGAACATGACCCTCGCGAGGAAGCATTACTGAAGTTGTCACAACAAAACGCATGTTGCTTTTCCTGCTCCAAGCAAAAGTTTTACAGCTAGTACATTTCTGCACATCTTTAGAAAAACATAACTGTACTCTTAACTCACCATGTCCTTAATTTGGGATAATGTGATCTGAAGGGTGACATTCAGCACTTTATCTGTGTCTTCCACTGGTCTTAGAGCATTTGAGTAGTCCTCAAACAGTTCATTAAACAGCATGTGAGCGTATTTTCCTTTGGCTGATTCTACAGCTAGATAACATAGATTTGTTCAGTATATCAGATTAAGCACTGAGCAGTATCAGAAGATATCCTCTTTCTACAGCTTCAAGTAGTATTTGCTATAACTGCATTTATCATCCATATACTGTAGAATATCATTTAGTGCAGAAACAGAAGTATACCTGATGAAGCTATTCAAATAAGGACAGCTTTTACCTGTAGTAAATGAGTAGCTAACTCTAGCTTTTCGCACCCACTGAAAAAAAACTCTGCATCCAGAGATTCCTACCTTTTTTGAAGGTAAATATCATTAATTTTATTTTACTGATGTCTTTCATAGGCATAGAGATTATCAACTTACAGTCACGCATCTGCCAAGCTAAAATTAGAAGCAAAGTCTGAAGTCAAACCTGCTCCCAGGCTAATGACTTGTGATATCTCCCTAAATGCAGCACTGACACATTCATGCTACTTTCAGAATTTACTCTTTTTTTTTTTTAACTACCACCTGGAAAAAGCGTGAGCTATTTTTCTTCACAAATTGGCAATTGCATGATGTATGAACACATTCTTGCACTAACACCTTTTCCAAACCATGTATATGGAGATGCTTCTTGTTATCCAGACTTAGTCACTAAAGATAATTCACCGAAACTTCAGGTTTTAAATGACACTTTTACTGTTCCACGCTGTTTTGTGCACCACGGTTTCTGTAGGCAGTCTTTGTATTACCTTTAGATACATTCACACATTTCTGCAAGCAAAGGGCAAGGACAGTAACACTTACAAGACCTGCGCAAATGCCAGCTGGCACTATGTAGGAAGCAAGTGCTTTGGAGTACATCACACTCTGGTGACTCACAGTGACTTCCTGGACCAATAAGAGTTCAAAGCAAACCTTCCTGATTAAAAAGAAATCCTAACAAATCAAAGCTTCACAAAGAGCATTTAAGTTCTGGCTGTACAGGATCATTCATTTTGTCTATGCATCAGTGAGACAAAGTACAACGAAACAGATGAAAGACTTCTGGAGCTCAAGCATGTAAGACATATCAGGACATCAGCCCTTATCTGAGTAAAATAAACCTCAATGAAACATTTAGCTATCAAGCAGCATTCTCACCTTGAAGCATCACTGCTGTAAACAGCAACCAGAGAGAGACGGAAAAGGAGGACAGGCTATTTCTCTTCATTTCCGGACCTTAAATAAAATTGTTCACTCAAGGGCACAAAAACGCTTATCACCATCCAAAACTAGCAAACAAACAAAAAAAAAACCCAAAACCCCACCAAGTTGCACAGCAACATAAAGATGCTGAGGCACTGCTGAGCTGCTGGGAGCAACTCAGTCCTCCCTCAGCAGCTGCCAGAGTCCTAGAGTGACCGACCGCTGGTCTTTGTCCGTCCGTCTTTGTCCCTGCCACCGCCGGAGCTCCGGCAAACCCCCCCTTCCCGTAACCCGAGAGCCGCCTGCTCTGAAGCTAATGCTGAGGGAGAAGACAAACGGATGGGATGTCAGTACGGAAACTATATTCTGTTGCATTTTTTGGTACAAATGTAAGATTTTGACCAATTTACGAAGAGCCCTTTCACATTTCTTTGGTGGCCACGTTTTACTGCCCATATGTTCAGCAATAGCTTGCTCAGAACCAGTTCTGTGGAACCTGTGGACCCTCACAAAAAAGTGATTTGCCTCAGTACTTTAACTGGTATAGTCACGCTGTACATCACACATCCAATATGTCACACAGCAAAAAAACCCACAGCCTACCTACTCCCATGCTGACAAAACGACGTTTTCACCTACCAAAGTGGTGCCACATGGAAGACATGCATCTACACCAAAGTCGGACAACACAGGCAACATTTGCAGCAGCCCAATACCGCTGTGCAAATAAGAATTTCCAGTGGTGTAGACAAGTCCGAGACCAGTACTCAGCAGAGTATATCAGGAGCAAAACTGGACTCTGCAGATAAAATGCCATTTCCCAATACAGTACATTTTTTCCCAGGTAAACTTCACAAGACTTTACAAAGAATTACGGAGTTACTGGACAGCTCTTGCATTAAGCTAAAAGACTTACAGGAGAGAAATATGAATATGAAACAATACCACACCCGGCCTCCCATCTACCCCGATGGTCAGAACTTCATTAGCTCTGTCTATATTAGTCATGTTGCCAAGTTAGTTTCCTAGTACTGCAGGCATTTTCTTACAAGTTTCTCACAGACAAGAGGAGATTACTTCCTCTTTCATAGTCCAGTCCATCCTTCCTGATATACTGCAGTCCATTTTGCCATCCTTTTAGAACCGGTAACAGAAAATAGTCACTAAAATTGAAAGGTGAAAATATAGAATGAACTACCAGCAAAAAGAATTGGTCCAGAACAGTTCTGATCCACACAAAATACAAAATACTGTTGCTTTACTCTTGTGTAGTCTTTTGGCTAGAAGGAAGCCAATCCCTCCATACACATAATTTCTATATAGTAGCACTCCTGGCACTCACTGGCTAATGTTTGTGCTTTCATGGGGTCTATAAATCAATGACATTTATGGCCAGGTTTAGTAGGTAAGCAATAAATCATTTCAGTCAAAGCACTTGTAATGAAATCCATCTCTGTCACTTCATTTGCTGAACTGTCAAAGGGGAAAAAAGTGGAAAACAGTTTAGAAGTCAAAAAGGTCAGAGCAGCCCATAGGCAGTATGCAATAACCTGCTTTTTCTGTGGGAAGAAGGTATATGCTGTTAGAGACAACAAAAATCAGAGATGAAAGATGAAAGATTTTTGGATACAGTCAGATCAGCGCATTCTCAGGGGATACCTTTAGTCTACAGTACATTGTCATTATGTCAGCAAGTAGCTACTGCTTCACTTCTCTTACTGTAATTACAAGAGTGACCAGGGGTACTGCTTTAAGTGTGCTGCTAAAAACACCACTGGAACCAAGATTAAGCTTGCTTTGCCACGGGCTGGAGACAATCTGGTGACCTGTTACACCAGCAATATCTATCTCCCCAGTGCAAGTACTTTAATTTACATAAGATCAGATACATTAAAGAACCCTGCACCTTTATTGTAATGACATCTTCTTGAAGGGAATCTGCAGGTTCTCAAAAGACAAAAACAAGAAGCATGCTTATATGTGTTTACTCAATTTATTCTTATACACACAAATATTCCATATGTTATTCATTACAAACTTGCAAAGGGATAGATCATAACCTCTCAGTTATGATCTATCATCTTTCCAGTCATCAAATATATCGAATAGTTGCCACATATTGGACATACAGGCAAACACAAGCACACACATAAAAGAACATGCTTGTTATGTTTGAGATGCTGCACTGATTACACATTGCTTGTAAAAATAAAACTAAAATACATCCAAAAGCCTTTTCAATATTAAAGATACAAGAAATTTAACAATCTTAGTATGCCAGACCATTTGGCTTCTTTATATTTGTTCACAAGAAATCTGACGTGTAATTTTAATCCAAATGTCCCTAATGTAGACATTTTGTGTGAAGAGTGAGTATTAACATTAATCGTTGTTCATTGATCTGAGAGTTTCATCTACAAACCCACGCTTCCTCAGACTATAGTTTTAAATTGTGGCGTAATCTATGGCAACACTACTCCCAAATCAAACATCCCATTTAACATTTGAATGGAGCTTAAATTTATAGTTAAGCAGTTCTCTATTTTTACAGTAATAAGTTCCGCTATGAAGTCAGGAATTAATATAAAGTATGAAGCAGCTTACAAAAATAATTTAACAAGAGTCGCGGGTGTGTGCAAGCTAGAATCAAGCCATTAACCTCTCCCAGAACTAGACTTGTTCCAAGTGAAATTCAAAGTTACCTTGTTAGAGTACATCTGCCAGCAGATGGCCCTGTTAGCCAGCCTACTGATCCACCCAGATACTCAACACGATTTTTTATCCCCCCAAAATCACATTGCATTTTAATCTACTTCCATTAATTTTGCTGATTATTTGCTTTCCATTTGATATAAGACAAGCAGAGACAAGATGTTCTTTTAAAGAAAAAAGATAAACAAAGGGAACAAAACTGCTTAGTGGCAGTTAGAACCCGGCTCTTGGGTCTGCCTACCCTACATGAGACCAGTCAGGAGAGGGTTGCAGGCCGAGCAGATACATGTCGTTGTCAACAACTGTATGATACGAAACCATATTTAGAGCACAGGCCGCTTCTGCTGGGGCAGAGAGCAGTTAAGGCCCGTGGCACAATATCCAACTCCGCTTCCATGTATTTTGTTCAAACGTTTGACTTTGTGAGAATGCGTATGGGCTATTAACGGAGCAGAACATTGTGTTTGTGCTTACATTCAGTGGGACAAGAGTGTACCATTCATTGCTGCACTGAGCTTGTATGACACTCACATGACACATGTAACTTTGTGGTTCTAGACAAACATGCATGCTCTTATCAAGACAACATCAAAAATATCTGAATTCAGTGTACTACCATGTAAGGCAAGTTTGGCTTTGCACGCACTTTAGGGACAGACTCAAGTGGAGATGACATGGGACGGATCTCTTTCATATTAAGACTTCCAACTTTAGATACTTATCTTAGCCAAACCATAAGCAAAGCAGGAAAGAAGTGTAGAAACATTAATTGAAAGAACAAAATTTTCATGAAACAAACCTTTCTCCTCCTGCCCAAAATAGTGGTTTGCTCCAGAGGCTGAGGTTTTGACGTGTAAATTTTCAGAATTTTTTTTTAATGGCTTCTTAGCCTTTTTTGCATAAAAAGCATTAAGAATTTTTAAGCCTCCAACTGGAAAAGCTACAGATACTGTATTACCACAGGCCTCAAGGCCGTCTGTACCATTTATAATCCATCCCTTCATCAGAGAACAATAAAGAAGAACAGATTGGTTTCTAAGCACAGTTTGTAAGAAGTGTCTCACAGTCTGCTTCTACTTGCCTTCCTGCCAATTTTTCTCCCCAGAAGCTGTTGTGTTCACATTCTTTGCAGCATTTGCTACAGAATATTATCTTGTGATGGGGTCAAGCAGCACACTAACTCTTCAGAGTCAGACTTCTCTCCTTAGACTAACTGAAGTCTTAACAGCACGGGTAACAACAGCTCTTCTTGCCAGTAAAATAGCCTCACTGTGCCTGCTCTGGAGAAGGAGAATACAGCACTTCATTTAGATGCAGCATGTTTCTCTCCGCCTCATTTTTTTTCACCCACCTACTGCCTCCTCCTTCCTTCTCTCTAAAAATCCCCTACCACTTGAAACCAGCGTATTCATTCATATTTTCTTCCACCCTGTTGTACACATGGAAGATAGGAAATACATTCAGAAGCACTCGCAATGTCAGGTCATGAGATAATGTAGAATATTAGCCACATTTTCCAGAGATGAGAAATTCTAATTTACATGTTACAGTTGTGAGTTTTTCTGAATATAAATTTTATTTGGGTCCACTTACACAGGCAGCTCTGCTGACCACCTCCCAGCACCTAAAGTAGAGAAACCTTTTGCCCCTAGAAGCCTTGTATTATTTAATGTGATCTAAAACGCAGCATGTTCATCCTTCTTCACCAAGATGCTTGGAAGCTGACCGGTATTTTGTCTGTCCTTGAGAAGCATTCCATATCTGGCAGGGTTAAGAACAAAGATATTTTATAATTTTAGCTATCATAAAGCTATTTTAGATACAGCTCTTTCTCATTGGGATAATTTCCAGCTTTGCACCATGACTTTGAATGGCTGATCACAGGACCTGTGCTCTACACAAAGACAACCTCTGGGCCTAGACACTGTTCCAGATCACACATGTGCTCTGGCAGGCAGCCTGATGCTCCCAAACAAACTGGATTAGAGAACTATTTCTACCCTGTTACAAGGGTGCAGACAGACTCAAGCATCTTCCCCTTTGTGATCACTCTTGAGCCATGGAAGTCAGCACACTACCTCAGCTTTTGGAAGCAGAGGGAAGCCCCCCAGCTACCACTGAAGGCTGAAGACAACTCTGCCGGTTCCCCAGAAAGCAATTCCTCCAGCTTGCGTGCACATCACCAAAAAGGAAGAGATTAAACTGATGATATCTGAAGAAGCAAAACTGAAGGGCAACAGTTTAGATACTTACTCAAAACTGAAGTTTCACTCTCTCCAAAATTCAAAGGGGGGTGGGAGCATCCCTCTAAAC